GGCATATTACTTGATTTAATTTCAGTAGGACTTGGTTTCCTGAATTGAGCATCTTAGACCCTAAAGTGTAAGACACAAAATAGGTTATTGTGATAGGGTGGAACCCCAAACATTTTCCAACTGGCAGAGACACCTAGATTGGCAAGGAGTGTGATAGCAAGGGAGATGTAATCACTCTGAAAAGGGAGCTTGTTCATAACCAGATTAGAGTAGTTGGTCATGGGTTGTACTTAATACTAGAGTTGGAGTTGAGATTAACTGTATTGTTATGCTTTAGGTGGTCCCAGTCATGAGTTCATATTCTTGTGCAAAAAGGCACTGATATTGTAATTTATGGTTTAAATTTCACATGTAGGTCCGGACAAGCTGTGTCCAGCAGTTCTCAAGCTGCATAATATTAGCAGCAATAAAATAAAATCTATTTTTGAAATACAATTTTGGTGAAAAATGGCAAATAGGCTAATTACCTTTCCTTAAATGGTCCATACTTTTTTTAAAGGCACATTTGTTCATTCACTGCATCTGGTTTCTTCCCCCATGAAAAAACTCCAGGTGTACTGACTATATTCTGCTTAGTAGGTTTGTGCCAGTCAATACCATGTTGTTAGTTAAATATGTCCGTGGTTTTATTCCTACCTCTAAACTGTTTTACGTGAATTTCCTTATTATGAAAGATTCATCACTGTCACTGCAGCCATTTGATCTAAAGTTATCTCTGGTTTTTATAATGCACAGAGAATCAGGGTGTCTAAGTATTAAAAATCCTCAATTTTTATAAGGTGTAGGGTTAAATGGCGTCAGGAGTGCAATCTTGTCCCATATTGCCCTAACATTATGCCTTGACTTTGATATTTAGAAGCTTCCAAAAAGGAAGCTTTTTCAACTCATGGCATATCTTCTGAGAGTATAAGCAAGAGGATAGTTAGCAGCATAATTTTGTATGAGATGGATGTACACAAGTACTGGCTTTGTTGAAAACGTTTATCTGCCTTGACAGATAACAGATGGGGAAATGAGGAATTTCTGGTAATGATGAATTTGGGATTAATTTAAACTGGCAATGTAGAGAATAGAGATGCACAAGTTTTTGGTCCCATTACTGTTATCCATAGCCACCCAGTTATTATTTTTATGTTGATTTCAGTAATTTGTTGACAGTTTATTTAAGCTGAGGATCTGGGCTCAAATGTTTTGAGATATTAAAATATAAAATGTGATATTAAAGACAATCAAATTAAGCTGGAAATTTCTGATTTGACTTTTAATTTTAGATATTCTTATCTAAATAAGTAATATTTCAATTAATTTTTTTTTCACTTCTATTTTAAGGTGACTTTGGAGTTTCTCGTCTCTTGATGGGTTCATGTGATCTGGCAACTACATTTACCGGAACACCTTACTACATGAGCCCAGAGGCCCTGAAACACCAAGGATATAACACAAAATCTGACATCTGGTGAGTGGGCAGCATGTTTTTTCGACTGAATTAGCCATTCATTCAAAATGAACAAATTGATAAAATAACATTGGTTTTCTAGGTCATCATGTGCTTGTATCATGTGCTCTATTTTTTTCCAAATATTTATTTGAATACTAACTAGCCAGAGCCACCTGGGCAGAATGCTTTCACTACATTATTAGAGAACAGTTCAGGGGTATTTATTTCAGTTCATAGCTATGTTGTAATCTGAGGGTATTTTTCTTTGTGTGTGCAAGCTATTTGTCATAGGATGAGCCAAGCAGATTTTTAGAGGAGAAATGAGGCACAGGCCCTGTTGGTTCCTGTTTGTTCTTCCAGATCAAGGGACTTAACATAGAAGGATCATGTGAGGGTGGGACTGAAGAAGGTCTACTAGGGAAAAGGAAATAGAGTGAAAAATAAGTCTGCTCTTTGCTCACAGGTTCACAGTCATCTCCCTCTTCTTTAAGTAATCACTTTATTTACATAATGGGGTACACAAGTCATTGTGTTATCTGGTGTTTATTTCTGTATCTGCTTCTTTTCCAGACCTGAGAAAGGGCACTCTGTGCCCAAAAGCTAACATCTCTCTTGATAATACAGTAGGTCCAATAAAAGATATTGCCAAAAATACCTTGCTTCTCACATTAGATCAGAAGAAAGTAGCACAGCCTTCTTGGGAAGCTTTTGTGTGACAGTGTGTGGTTTTAGAGGGAATCAGTATTGGTTTTAGTATGTCAGGGAACCAGCAAAAGCCTGGTAAGAGCTCAACTGAAGAAGTCTAGAAAGAGCTGGAGAAGGAGATAGTAGGAAGTGGCCCTACAAACCTTAAACAAGGAAATACGGAGTTTATAGCAGAGAAACACTTTATAATATAGGATTCCAGAGTTGGCTCCTAGGGGATAGGAGAGATTCTGGGCTCTTCTAGCTTTGGTGTTACTGAGAGATAATGGAAAAAGTTCCTGTGACCAAGATTTTTAAAACATCACTGCATTATGTTAAGGTTTTTGAGGAATCCCCTGAAAGGAAAGGGGAAGACAGGTTTGGGTTTAAGGCTTTTTGTTTTGTTTGGCACATATGGTAGGAGCATTGATGTGGCCAAATCACACTACCATCCAAAAGAAGACTTTCTCCATGGGAAGAAAACTGAGGCATGGAGGAAAAACTGAAGCATTAGCTATGCACTAGCCATTACAGAAGTAAGCAAACCTTCACAAGAAATAGGTTGTAATTTTCCTTAAAATGCTTCCTGTCCTAAAAATGCATACAAATAATTTAGAAATAATTCTAAAATGACCCAATGCCTTGCCAAAAAATGTTCTGATAGGAGATAATTCTTAAAAATAAGAAAAAAAATCCTTTCTGTTTCCCTTATAGTATTCTTTTTTTTTAAAAAAACTCATTTGTTTGTTTTTTACAAGTACATTTATCCTTTTTTATTATTCCATAAGCTTTGAACATTGCTGTGCAGTTTCATTATTATGTTCCTTGGAACCTAAATATTTATTCCATCTTTTACTCTGTTCCTCCATCTCAAAATATACTGGAGACTACTGGGAACAATTTTATATATGGAGAAGAGTCATCCATGCTTTTAACCAGTAACATTTGCCATTTTTCAGGGGCAAAGTATTGTAGTATTCAGCTCAAGTCAACAGGTGAGCTGAGAATCCCATCTCATGGTCCCTATAGCTGAACTGACAAGATTTTATGTCAGATTCTGTACTGCCCATTTGTGCTCAATACTAGATGTCATTGCAATCAATAAAAATGCTGTTAAGGATGTCAAAAGAGATAGGAATACGTCATTCAGCAGCCAGAGAAACCCTTTTCAATCCATAACCACAGCTGTTCCTATAAAGAATAATTTATTTTCTTTCAGTGTTAGCATTATATGTAAAGAATCTGGACAAATTCTGTTCTCAGTTATATCCAGGCAATTCTATTAAGTTATCAGGGGGTTTGCACAAGAGTAAATGAGAGCTGAAATTGGCCTACTACTATTGTATGTTACGTCTTAGTTATATTTTCTCAATTTAAAAAATAAAGCTCCATAAAATGAATCTAGTGTGAAGACTACCTTTATGTTACATTTTATACCCCATTATTTTATATATTTTTATAGTCCAGTACTTTAAAAACTGCCAGCTCTACAGGATTCTGGGGGAGACAAACTGCCTTATTTCCAAGCTTTTTGGTCTTCTGAGATAGAGGTACTGAGGACCAAGTGCACCAGTAATCCCTAGCATCTCAGCTGACAGAAACTTTCAGCCTCGTGAGACAAGAAACTCCTTGCAAGAAGCTCTGATAAAGGTCCTTTCAACCACTGTTGCTCTATTTCTCCGTCAGTTGGTCTGAATTTCTCCTCTCAACTTGTCTTTCTGTTTGTCTAATAATAATGTTCCTGTTTATTCCTGAACATCTGCTCTTCTTTACACACTTGAGGCTCTGTAGGATCATGGACACTGAACTTGTTTTGCTGGATTCTCCTTTTTTCATTTTGTTTGTTTACCCCTTCTTTGCTTCATTCATTTGGTTCCTGCACATTAAATTTTGATTTTCCAATTTTCAGTGCTTTATGTGCTTTAAACAGCTAGGCTTCAACATGGATACTTGATTTGCCTTTCTTTGAGCTTTTCATTGAGACTTTGTGTCAAGACCCTAAAATCTGAGACTGCATCAGATTTTTGTTTCTGTTGCAAATTGATTGTTCTAGATCGTGTTGTAGTTTCTGACTATCAGTTTAAGAGCCTTCCTCCTTTTGATCCCAGATGCCCTTAAATGTCCACAAAGAAAGAAAAAGGAAATGAGTTATAAGAAATGTGGATAGGACTGACACTGACAGGAAAGCACTATGCTGCATCTCTGAATATGCTAACTGTGCCCTTGCTTGCCACGCTGATGAGCTGATGAAGATACTTCATTCCTCTCATCCTGCTCCAGGCAATCACAGAAAACCATATCGTCCCAGAACATGACTGATTTAATTGCCCAGACATTACAGTAGAGTTCGATGGTTGAGATATTTGTGCCTGGGAGGGAACCAATTAAACCCTTGTTTTTAAAAATCAGTGTCCCCTTTATATGTCTGAGTTTGGATAGAAGGCAGATTCTCTCTAAGTTCATTTGGCAGCTATTTTAATCTATCATGAACTAGTAATTAAAGGTAATTCTGTTTTTCTATGCAGCCCCTTGTCATTAAGAGATTTGGCACATTTCTGATTGCATCCTTCAACTGAAAATCCCCTTTGGTAAAGGGATATTGACACAGTTTGACAAAACTAATGAAAGCTTGTGTTCAGTTGCTTAGTTCATGAAAGTTTAAGTCTTTTATATGGAAACTCATTTCTCTGGGGGTAGTGACTTCAACCCAGAGTGAATTAGTATCTGACTTTGTGACTGACCTGCCATATACTTGATTTTAAAAGAACTTCATGGTTTCGTTCACTCCTCCTACATTCTTTCCGAAAATGCTGGCTAGTTTCTAACTTAATGAACATCATCCTTATAACATTCTACCAGTGACTGCCTAGTCTATCATGGGTCTTTCCTACAAACTTGATATTAAAATATATTTATATTGGTGCAGACTAAAAATGATAAAACCCACCTTAATTTTTGTTTCTTTTGGTAACAGACCATTAGGCACTGTTATCCTGTGAAGAATTTGGTCATTGGCTGCCTTTGCCACCTGCAGTCTATGACTTTTGGTAGGCCTACCTGTCCTAGTTTAGGACTCATGCAAGGCAGGATACATGCACTTGCAAAGTACTGTTGTATAGATTCACCTTCTAAAGAGAAATCCTTGTTTGTCTCTTAGTGCTGCAAAACCTGCTTCTGAAGTATGGATGCCCAAATTCTCTCATTCTTACTATCTTTTTCTTTAGATTTAAGGCTTTTCATTACATGAATTTTTATAGACTTTTTTTAAATTAAAAAAGGTCAAAAAAGGGTGTTCTGCCACATCACTTGATAAACGTATAGAGCAAGGTCAACATAGGAATAATAATCCACTGCTGGCTGAGAAATAGTATCTTCCAAAAGTAAGTGAGATCAAGTACTTTCTATAGCAAAAGTTGACATCCGCTTTGCAAATGAGTTTCTTGATGCTACTTTAAAACAGTACCAGCAATCCTACATGGTATGCTATAAGCAAGTAAGACTTATAATCATGTTTAACAAAAGCAACACTTTGGTCAAGCCAAATTAAAACACTCAAGCTGCCGGCATCATATTACATTAAAAAATCATTAACAATCCCAAGAGCCTCAGATCTAGATTTCATTAGGTTAGAGCTCAGAGACTTCTCTATTTAATGGTTATTTTTCAATTAATTATGACCCAAATGAGAAACTAACACCCATACTAGTGTCTTGATCAAAAATAGAAAATATAGTTCAGGGGTTGATAACTGCAGGTACGCCTACCCTTGGAGTACTTGGGAAGGTCCCAAGGGGCATGCAGCAGCAGCACAGAGAAGCAGGGGTACTTGGGAAGCATGCTTGCTTGCTGCCGCTACTGCACACCGCCTCCATACCCACCAGGAAGAGTACCCACCAGAAGGGGTACTGTCCTTAAAAAAGGTTGAAAACCCCTGATATAGCTTTTCAGTTATATAGAGCAATTAGTGTGGGTTTCTTGGATGTTTTGAATGCAGTTATTTTTAAACATTGTGAGCAACCTTGAAGTATTGAGTACTATAGTTACTGTAATAGCAGTCTGACAAATAATCTATGGAACAAACCCTTTTTATATGAAATTTAGAGATGAAGCAGTAAAAGTGTGAATTTTCAAATAACACAACCTGTTTTGTTTCCTCTTCTTAGTACTTTTTGGAAATGAAATGCTCTCATGAAAAAAAATTGCTTAATGCAGGGGTTGGCAACCTGTGGTCCATGGAGCTATTGGATCCAGCCTGCATACGTGGGGCTTCGGTGGCATTTGGTAGTGGGGAACTTCAGCTGTGGGCACTCTCTCCATACTGCTGCAGGAGAAGT